GGAGACGAAATGGTGAATTTTGGTCAATTTTTGAGATATTTATCTTTTGGTCAAAAAAAGTCAAGAAAATGAATAGTAATTCTTAAGTCTTTTCCAATGAAATGGTGACACTTGTCACCACCATTAATGCATTCCTATCCTTTCTTTTCTCTCTCACATCAATCATTTCACACACTCTACTTATCTCTTAACACCCGATAAATTTTACACAGTATCCGGAATTTAACCTAATTGGCCGAATTTTTTCGAACTTTTCGCACTAGTGGGTCCCACGTCCAATATACGTTCTTAATTTCTCAAAAACTAACTAATACTAGAAACAACATCTAAAAACTCTATTTACTCAATAAAATTATCTGGGGAATTTTCTAATAAAGAAAATGTAGAAAAAACGGGTTTTCAATCTTAACCGGAACTTAGGGTTTAAATCTTAATCCCTACTTAGGGTTTTCGAAATACTCCCAAAACCAAACGTTACCGCCCAATTAATGAATATATCAACGTAGAACGAACTGGGGCCTCACACTTCATCCCTTGAAAATATAGTGATATAATATCGCTTTAATTTCTAACATTATTTTGTAGGCATTTTATTATTGTTAATCTAACTAGTATGGTCCAAATTTTTAAAATATATTTATCCTTTTTTTATATATACTTAAAAATAAAAAGTTGGGATGATTATTCATCCTTTTTCCACTTTAAGAGATCTAAAAGTATAAAACTAAAAAAAAATTCTCAAATTTCTTTTTTCATACTTATTAATACTAGAAAAGAAAAAGGGAATATGAAAGAAGGAGACAGTAAATTGATTTTGTAAAGAAAGAAAATAATGAAGAGTCTAACATTATCGTATTACTTTAAGGTTTTCGGGATTATGACTGGTAAATAGAAAGGTGAAATAATTTTAAAATAATAAAAGTATTTAATTCTTTCTTATTTGTATTTTTAAGAAAAAATAATTGAACTCTTTCTCTCTCTCTCTCTCCTCCTTCCCATCTTTTTATTTATTTTTTCAATATTAACAACATTACCAAGAAGAAAGAGATTAACACTTTAACTTTTTTTTTGTTGATACTAAAAAGGAGAAGAATTATTCTATTTTTTTTATTATTTTTATTATACAAAGAGGAAGGTACTTTTTTTCTAAAACTCTTTAAATTACTAAGTTGATTTAATGGTGGAATAAATTGTCTAAAAAATAATTCTAGAGAGTAAATTGATAATGAGGCTATAGTTTATGGGATGGAGTGATAATAATTTTAATGGATAAATATGTTTTTTCACTTTAATTAATAAACTCCGTTAAATTTGACTATTAGTCTTGAGATAAAGTGACTAAAAGATAACGTTAATAGGGAAATTGATAGTGACACCAAACGTTAAGGAGGTAAAGTGATAATAATCTTATATATCCCGCCTAAAAGGTGCCACCAAAATTAGCATAATTATTTTTTTTCCCTCTACGCGTGCCAAGGTTACTACGTATACATCTTTTTTTTATATAAAAATTATTGTATTTGTTGCGTCTATTTTTCTGTTTTTTTTTTTTTTGAATACCATATTTGTTGTGATGATGCTTATACTGTATAATAATATAATTGACAGGAACGATTGCAAAAGTCCACATGAGATACCTTCCTCTCTCAAACAATGGGATTCGTGGCAGATAATTTGTCATGGTCACATTGTTTTTTTTTTTTTTCCTTCTTTATTTTAACTTTTAAGACATTATTCGGTGTACATCGGACATTTGTTGCTCGAGTCACGTATTGCCTTGGCATGTTACTCCAGCAATATCATTTCTAACCGCCATATATGCCTCCTGTCAGTGTCTCAATAGAAACGAATATACGGCCATGGATCAAATATTGCCAAAAAAAAAAAAAAATTCCTGAGCAACGGCATTGGTTTTTTTTTTTTTTTTTCTTCAAAAAAGGGCTGTCATAAGTTAGCACGATAGCCCATCATTTTTTTTAATAATTGTTGGGATTGTCATGCTGACTTAACACACGGCAATCTAGGAAATTTTTTTTAAAAAAATAAAATCAGACATATAGTTTTAAACATCAATTCTTTCAAAGTCACATTTGTTGAAATTTTTTATTTTTATTTTTGACAATTTTTTGAGGAATTAGCTAGATTAAATTGAAAATGACACGTAGATCCACGTCTCAAGGCAAATGACCATATGTCCGTAAATCAATCGAAAATGACGCGACGAGCATAACCTCACACTTCACCATGGCAAAAATAGAATAGGGAAGACGACAAGGAAATACAGCAATAATGCCTTAGTATAATCATTAATCACGACTCTCCTTCTTGCTACATGCTGGCCAATAATATGCCTTACCAAACCACCTTATTTGTTTTTTTTTTTTTTATTATCAAGGAATCTTTTGAATAAATACCTCGTACGATGAATGAGTCTATGAATTATGAAATCTCCCGTGCAATAATTTCGTTTTTTCCCCTTCTCCCACACTCTGCTCTTTGTAGTTGGTTCACCATGGCTACTAACTCAAATGAGATTCTTCATGATTTTTCTCCCTTAATCCGCATCTATAAAGATGGTCGAGTCGAAAGATTGGAGGGGGAAGACACTGTCGCTGCATCAATCGATCCAGAAACCCGAGTTGAAAGTAAAGATATCGCGATGGCACCAGAATTCAATAGTGTCTCTGCCAGGCTTTACCTACCCCAAAACGCCAAACCGGGTCATAGAATTCCACTTCTAGTCTATTTTCATGGCGGTGGATTTGTCGTGGGATCTGCCTTTTCTCCTGTTTATCAAGAACATCTTAATTCACTAGTAGCGGAAGCTAATGTTATTGTTGTATCCGTCAATTATCGACTAGCCCCAGAACACCCTCTCCCTATTGCATATGAAGATTCATGGCTGGCCCTCAAGTGGATCGCTTCTCATTCAAAATCAGGCGATGGCCCGGAGGAGTGGCTCAAGAATTATGCTGATTTTGATCGCGTGTACTTCGGTGGGGACAGCGCTGGCGGTAACATCGCGCACAACATGGCCTTCAGGTTTGGCATAGAGGAATTGCATGGCGTCAATCTTAATGGGATTTTTCTAAATTGTCCTTACTTCTGGGGAAATGATCCTATAGCTAATGAAGCAGGGAGGAAAGGTGAGAAGAACTTTCTCGACAACCTCTGGTTTTGCATATGTCCCAGTACGACAGGGCTGGATGATCCACGGCTAAATCCCGCGGCGAATCCTATGATTTCCAGGCTAGGCTGCAAAAGGGTGCTGGTTTATGTTGGCGGCAAAGATGTGCTGAAGGACAGAGGCTGGTACTACAAAGAAGCATTGGAGAAGAGTGGATGGGCTGGAGAAGTAACGGCTGTAGAGGTTGAAGGGGAAGAACATGTCTTCAATTTGTCTTCCCCCAGGGGAGCGAACTCTCTGTCGATGATAAAAGATTTGGCTCGTTTCCTAAACCGCAATTGAGTGTAAAGGATACCAATCTGAAGCAACATCCTAGCAAGACTATTACTGTATCTTTCAAGCAGGAAGAAGCAAGTGGAAATGTCTCTTAAAAGGGGGAAAAAACACGAAAAAAAACTCTAATCTTCTGAAAGATACTAAAGTTTTTGTTTCTATCTATGGTTTGGAAGTTGCACTTGGGGTAACGAATAAGAATCCTTCTTCTTCTTTACCAAACTTGAGGGAATTCAGTAAAGCAAGTCTTAATATATAGTTAACATCGAACTTGCCTTTTACCTTGTCATCATTACAATAAATCAATCAGCGCAGTTCCCACCAAGGAGATGAGCAAAATATGAGGTAGAGCGCTTAATTAGAAAAAATTTGTCATTGCTTTTGGTTTGGATGAATTACACGCTTCGAAATCATACGTAAATAACCAGTGTTAAAAGAGGAGGGAAAAAGAAGGAAATTCCAATGTAACTAAAAGAAAGGGAAATATATATTATTGTTTCAAAAAACGAAAGAAGGGATAAACTAACTAAAAATTAATTAGGGGAGGCAAAATGTGACTGTTTCTGTAGTTTACAGAAAAAAATTGCAATTTAACATATAAAATCATGCTTTTGTTTCCAGCTACCATTATTGACTTTTGTCATTATTAAGGTGTTTTTAACTGAACTTGACTAGTAGCACATGAACAGGCCCTAAAATTGTTATAATCTTTTTTTTTTTAAATAAAAACTAAATTGCTACAATCTAAACATAAGAAATTGCGTGAATGTCTACAAAAAAAAAAAAAACACTTAAATTAGGGTGATAAAAAAACTTTACTTGTATTGAAATACATAACCTTTGCAATTTTTCAAGGGATAATTTCTGAAATCTTCCCTAACATTTCTCTTAATATCACTTAAAACTCCTTAGATTTTGAAAATTTCATTTACCATTCTTAGATTGACATTTTCTTTGTAACATTTTGGCCTTTTTGGAGGAAATGCAAGAAGGATAAAATTTTTGTTCCAATAATACCCTTATGTTATTCTACTTATGACGCTTACAACAATAATGAAAAAAATAAAAATATGTGTAGTTATCGATGCAATGACGGGTCATTGTGGCGATATACAATAACTATTACCTAGTATAATGAATGATATTTTAACCAAAAAAATGGTATTCTCCTAGATATTTTGATCATATTTTGATGAATTTTTTTATTCCTAACTTATTTATAAAATTCTTTATATGTAGAATTTATGTCGCAAATGACACATATGAAGAGATTATTGTAATTTCAATATAATTTAAATTACATCATGTATTACAATATATTTCCTATAAAAATTTGTTGACTTCTTTATAAGTATCCCGCAAAAAGTATCAAGGTATTAATTACTTAGAAAAATTTATTTAAATGCTTGACTTTGACTAAATTTATTTTGCCTACGTTACTACCTGCTTGATATAAAGAAACATAGATTAATATTATTGTATAGCAATTTGATTAATTTGTACCTATATTTTTTGGTTTAAATTTTTTTTGTTTTTTTTTTTGGTTAAATAGTTAAGAAGGGTGCAAGGGTATTGTTATCAATTTATAACATTTAATTGGGATATTTGATTTTATTAAATTGGTAAGAGAGGCAAGTGATATTTCAAAACCTCGGAGAAGTTGAGTGATATCACTAGAAATAAATGTGAGAGGTTTCTAAAATTATCCCATTTTCCATTCTAAAATATGCTTGTCGGAACTATGTACAACTCTTGTTTAGCATCGAAATGCAAATCCGGTATAATCCAGAAAAGTCAAATAATTATTGTCGACCCCACCACACCACCTTGATCTTTCAGTCTCTCTATACTTGCGGATACGATTGCAAGTTTCTTACCTGCAAATATTTGCTTGTCTTTATTCTGCTTCCTGACTCCTCCGTATTGCTCTCTCCGTTGTTCAACAATGGCTGCAAACTCACCTGAGATACTCCATGACTTCTCTCCCATGATCCGTGTATACAAGGACGGCCGAGTCGAAAGATTATTAGGCAAAGATATTGTAGCTGCATCGGTGGATCCAGAAACCGGAACTGAATCAAAAGATGTCCAAATATCACCAGAACTAAACATATCTGCTAGGCTTTACCTGCCCAAAACACCTCGACAGGATAAAAAACTTCCTCTTCTAGTTTACTTCCACGGTGGAGGCTTTGTGGTCGAATCTGCCTTCTCTCCTCCATATCACACGCACCTCAACGCAGTAGTTGCAGAGGCTGGTGTTGTCGCAGTTTCAATTAACTATAGGCTCGCCCCCGAGCACCCTCTACCTACTGCTTATGAAGATTCTTGGATTGCAGTCAAATGGGTTGCCTCTCATTCGAATGGCCAGGGTCCTGAGGTATGGCTCAGGGATTATGTTGACTTTGATAGCGTGTTTTTTGGCGGGGATAGTGCTGGTGGCAACTTAGCACATAACATGGCGTTAAGGGTTGGACTGGAGAAACTGGACGGCTTCAATCTTGATGGGATTTTTCTCAACTGTCCTTATTTTTGGGGAAAAGAGGCAATCGGTGTTGAGCTAAAGAACTTAGAGATGAAGGCCTATGTTGAGGTCCTCTGGCATTATATTCACCCAAAATCTGCAGGGGCTGATGATCCATTGGTGAATCCTGTGATGGAACCCAACCTTTCGAGGCTAGGCTGCAAAAGGGTGCTGGTTTATGTTGCGGAAAAGGATATCCTGAAAGAGAGGGGGTGGATTTATAAAGAAGCTTTGGAGAAGAGTGAGTGGGGCGGAGATGTGGAGGTTGTGGAAGTTGCAGGGGAAAATCACGTCTTCAATTTGTTCTTTCCCAAGGGAGAGAATGCTTTGTCGCTGCTGAAGAAGTTGGCTGCTTTCATCAATAATAAGAATGATGTGTAGATGCATCACTTAAAGAAGTGGATGATCACTTTGATTATTGTCATTCCCCAAATCTTTCCAAGTACTTATTTGAAGTTCATATGCAAGTGTTTGTTTCAAAATACGTATTTTGTGGAATAATCACCGGTAATGGTGAGAGATAAATGATGTGATTCGGTACAGGAAATGCGTTCACATTCACCCCGCTGGACCTGTTAACCATTATCAATCAGGGTGTTTCTATTGACCAATCTTGCTTTAGCTTCTCAAGCCATTATTTGCGAGTTGAGACTTGACTTCTGCTTGCTTTTCTTTTGGACCTTAGTGGCTTACCCGTTGCAGGTGTGAATGTTTCTGCATTAACTGCTACTGGCTTTTGCCATGATGAATGAGCTAAGCAGTGACGAATGAACAAGATAGATTATTGATTATGTTAGGGGGAGACTAACTATTCTATTATTATGTTCTATATTACTATGTTAGAGGGAGAGGACGGACATGAACAGGCGCAACTGTAACTCGCACGAGATCTCATCATTCATCAAATTAAATTGTAAATTAGTGCTACTGGGAAATACTCTCTTTTTCCACATTGTCGGAGCTACAAAAATTTTTCATGTGGGGGTGCACAAATTTATAATGACAGCCCGTGCATTTGATGAATGGTAGTATAATAAATGGATATGATCAAATTTATATATTAATAAATACTTTTTTCCCATAATTTGCTCAGGACAGATTTTTCACAACCTTCTTTTTACTTTAATTTTAAAATATTTTCTTCTCAACATGAAAAGAATTGCCTGCAACTAGCACTATTGATTATACTGCTTACTAGAGACTAGAAATTGATTTTTTTGTGCTTGAGTTGCAGTCGTCTGTTTGATTTGGGAAGAGCGAGACGCATACACAAGGAGCACAAAAAAAAAAAAAAAAAGAACGTTGTACAAGTAGAAAGCCCCGAAGATGGAGAAGGGAGAAGGGGGCGAAGATTGGTGGGACAGGAAATTAATTGTTAAAATTTATTTGTTTGTATTATTAACATATTTTTTTATTTATTTTTTTATCTCATTTATATTAAATAAAAAAATTGTTATGGTATTTAAAAAAAAAAATATTTCAAGTAGCCTATTATCAAAACACACCCCTCAATAGTACTTGTGCCCCTTGTTTTTCTTCTTATTGCCCAAGTCACCACTCACCACACATCTATCCTCTCTCCGGTTCGCCCTCGTTTGTTTCCTTGATATTTTATTTATTTTCCCTCCCTTTCACAGAAACCCCTAAACTGATTTTCATTCTCCTCCGCTCTTCCCTAACTCCTGTCTTCCGACTCCTCTATCTCCTCACACAGTGTTATCTTCTTTCCTTCTCATGGAGAGAGCGGCTCTTTTACGCTCTCTTTCTTCTACTTCTCAGCTCGCTGGCTCCAGAATATTCTGCCGTTCTTTACACCGATTACCACGCTTCTCTCCTAAACGACACCGTCCACTTGCAAAAACTCAGCAACGATCGATTCTCCCGTGCCGTCATCACCTTCCCTTGCTCACCGCTGTCTCACATCCTTCACTTCATTTCCGAAGAGACTTCTCCCCTTACTCCATCAGAGCTATTGCCACATCAGCACCACAGTCCTCTCCAGGCATTTAATTTAATTTTATTGTTTTTTTTTTGTTTTTAAACTCAATCCCCGTTTTGTTAATTGGTATGTTTTGCTGCTGGAATTTAGTTTTATCCTTTTAATCTGTGGATGCTACTGTAGAGATGCTTGGCGCGGATGATGATGTGGCTGACAAGCTTGGTTTTGATAAGGTGTCGGAGCAGTTTATTGAGGAGTGTAAATCGCGAGCTATTTTGTATAAGCACAGGAAGACGGGAGCTGAAATTATGTCGATTTCAAATGACGATGAGAACAAATGCTTTGGCATTGTCTTCCGGACACCTCCGTAAGGATGAGTAAATGCTATTTAGCTCGTATTTTTTTTTCATCTACCTATGTATCGCATCACCCAATGCGCTTTTTATTATCTGGCTTATCTACGCAATTTTCCATCTGTACTTTGGACTGGTTGGGCCTGTCATGATTTATGATGATTCGTAGTATTTATGTAGTGATGAGTTATGAGGGTGAATTAATTGAGGCATATATATTTTGTAGTTTGTGGTTTTGCTGAGGAAGCAAGTAGGAGCATATTTTCCTACTATCATGCATGACACGGATTGATTGAATGTTTGCATGAAATTAGAGCTAAAGATGTCAAGAGAGGTCAAATTGGCGATCCTTGTTGAGGAATTTTACAAACTAGAGCATGTGGAAGCAAGCTTTCAGTAAAAGGTTATTTGTGAAACACATCGTTTTGCATCTGCTAATGCAAGATATCTGTTGGTTGGACAGTCCCTTGTACAATTGCATTCTGTTTTCATGTTCATTTTTGTCACTTGGAGATGGAAGAAGATAGTGTTTTGTCAATCTGCACAGTGCTGCAACTTCTTTGGCTGTACTCCTTGAACATGTCCATGCTTTTGTTCAGCATCAGATAGTGCATCACAGTTCTAATCTATAATAAGTAGCAGCACTATATGTTGAGTGATGAATAATGTCAATGGTTCTTTATTGGAATCAAGAAATTACCCTTATTCATGTCTTGAAAATTTTGATGCAGGAAGGATTCTACAGGAATTCCTCACATCTTGGAGCACAGTGTCCTGTGTGGTTCAAGAAAGTATCCCTTGAAAGAACCATTTGTTGAGTTATTAAAAGGGAGTTTGCATACGTTTTTAAATGCATTTACCTACCCAGATAGGACTTGCTATCCAGTAGCTTCAACAAATACAAAGGTCTGAAAATTTCATCAAGTTTCTTTGAGAACTTATATTTGTTTTTTGTTGTTCTTATTCCCAACTGATGGTAAATGGTTTCACTGTCAAAACAGGACTTTTATAATTTGGTTGATGTATATTTAGATGCTGTCTTTTTTCCTCAATGTGCGGACAATCTCCAGATATTTCAACAAGAGGGGTGGCATTATGAGCTGAATGACCCTTCGGACGATATAACATTTAAAGGTTCATAGAACACTATTTGAATCATGTCAAATTGTTTTAGTTATTGATCCTTTCAGAAGTTAATTTTCAGATTGGAATATGAAATGCATTCTTTTTCATGTCCTTATAATGTTACTTAAAAAAGCATGAAGCTACAGCTTCAAATGACAACCGACAAACTTATGGCATTGTCAAACTCAGGTGTTGTCTTCAATGAAATGAAAGGTGTTTATTCCCAGCCTGATAACATCCTAGGCAGGACTTCCCAGCAGGTGAGCTACATCACTCTTCTCCTCATTCTATTTTCTTGCTTTTCTGGAAGGAATGCTTTTGTGCTTGGACTTTTGAGTATTCTGTCATGATACTATTTGCTTGAATAGTTCTGCTGAATTGCTAACTGTATTCTGTACCGTAAATGCAATAATTATTGTCTTGAGCATTTGTAATGTTAATCTTTCACTTTGGTGGTTGCAGGCTCTTTTCCCAGACAATACATATGGTGTTGATAGTGGTGGTGACCCTCAAGTTATTCCCAAGCTAACATTTGAGGAGTTTAAGGTTTTCTCAGCGTCCTGCTCCTATTTCCCGCGTTAAATATTTCTTTTCAAGTGACTTTTTTGCTTATGAGATGTATTTTACTGGGTGCCACTACATTTTTGTTTTTTTCTTAATGAAAGCATGTAATAGTTTATAAAGCATAAAGAAGCAAATGAATTATCATATTGACAGCATTCTTTGGCTGTTTGAAGCTCTATCTTATGACATAAGTATCTTACACGATATCAATTGTACTTAGTAGATTGTACGATATAATAATTTTGATGCCTGTTTCTTAATCAGTTGAATGAAAACCACCGTCTCCTTTTCTTGTGCGCCTGAGATAATTACCTTAAATAACTGCTGCTAGCGGTCCATTATTTGGAAAAGTATTTTGAACTTTTGAACATTGGTATGCCATGAGAATTATTTTCATTTCTACATTTCTAAAGAGAATGTGATAATTAAGTTCCAGGAGAATGCTGAGTTGGATGGCTTAATTTGGACCAACAGTGTTAACTTCGATTTGTTGCAAGCTTCAAAAAAGCTTAGTTATACCAATCAGATGATTAATTGAACGGCTTAGTTCATGATTTTCACACATGCTTTATAAAGAGGGGACCTTCGAACATGAATGATCCTTTACCCTTGCAGAAACTAGAATGTTTCTAGTTTCTGGCTTACTTTTAGTGGATAAAAGTATCAATTAGCAGACAGAACATATTTTTTGCTGGCAAAGTGCTGCAAAGCTCACACTGAGGGCAGAAAAATTAGCGCTTAAAAAGTTAGTATCTTATCCATATATGTGTACATATTCACATGGAAACAAACATGAGTAGCCTCATGCCAGGTGAAGATTCCCCATAAATGACTCATTTGTGATCAACATGTTGGTTTTGGTAGATGGAATGTCTAAGGCCTCAAACTTCCTTTTTGCATAGATGCCTGGCTGGATGTGAATATGTATACTAATTTGTCCATGTGTATACCTATTATGTTACTTTCATGCCTGTGCATTTACTGCATGGAGTTAAGATGAGTAGTGAAAACAATAACTTCATGTCTGTTGCATATTGATCTATAAGTTTCTTATGCAGGAGTTTCATCGCAAATATTACCATCCCAGCAATGCCAAGATATGGTTCTATGGAGATGATGACCCAAACGAACGCCTACGTATTTTAAGTGGTGCTGTTTTTACTTCTTATTCATTAGTTTTTCTGGATCTGGTTTGTGAAATGTTGTTTTTGTGGTGTTCATTTTCTAGCTACCTTGAGAGAATATATTCTTATTGCTTTTGCCAAATTTGGACCAACAGGAAAATCTGATGGGTCCTAGTTTATGCTGGTCAAATAACAAGATAATTTCCTTGTACTTTATACCCATCGTGGGAAGCGCACATATTATAGAGAAGGACTTGAATTTGTGTTATGCTAATTTCTTCGATTCATTAAACTTAGTATCTAAATTCTTAAATTCATGAGAAAAGAGTTAGCTGTGGTGTACCTGGATGAACAATACATCTTGATTCGTTTAACGCTATCAATCCTTTTGAGTCATTTGTATGTAAAAGCCTCTGACCACATTTTGATGTGTGTTTGCTCCAAATAGGAAATATCAAGTCACTCTTTGACATGTTTGGAAATTTGTTGATTACTTAGCAGACACTTTTTGAGCCAAATGGGATTATA